GCCGAGGAGACCGGGGCCACACCGTGACTACGGCACTTCCACGACTACATTGTACGCGGCTGTCGTGACCGATCGCGTTTCGATTAATTTTTTGCGTTCCCTTACTTCTACGCTCCGCTGCCCGGACACAATCAGCCGCACACGAATTCTAATCGCGACTCCTTCGGCTGCGCGCCGTGCGGCTCTTCGACGTACCGCTTCGCAGAACGACTTAGAATTGATGAGTTGGAAGCGGTTTGCTTATTGGACGGCGGATATTTTGGAATTGTCGCGTGCGCGATGGCGATTGTGTGTACATTTCGGTTTGGGAACACGTCGATTTGTATCTGATGGACATATTTTAGATGGAAGTGATTTCCGTGGGTAGTTTGATTGACAAATTGGGAAAGTTGGGAGGTTTGAGCTAGTTTGTTGGCTTTTTGAGATAGTCTCTTTAGAAGTTTGTAAGAGTGGATTGGGATTTTCTAAAATTCTTTGACTTTGATTTTTCGAGTATTTTATAATATCCAATCAGGTTTTCACTGTTTTCGTTTGTAATCATTGTGTTTTGAGAGTAATATGAGACTTAAAGGAGTGCACTCGCGCGCACTGCAATGATCATTCTTAAATCAACATTCGTATCAGTACATTCATCTGAATGCTTAACTTGACTTTCATCGCAAGTACTTAATTCATGCACGGAAATATGAACAGCGCCGGCCTGCGAACATTGACATGCCTAAAACGCACACCTCGGGGTATCCGAGCGGAGCTTTATCCCCTTCCCAGACAGCGGCGAGCGAAACATCGGAATCATTAGCGATTATCGATGACCATCAATGTGGAACAGCCTACCAGCCGTCATCAATTAGAGTTAAATAATAGCTCGCGTTGTCCATCCGTTAGCTCGTCGATCGGACTCGCTTCCGGGATCTTGCTTCTTACACTTGCTCGCCAACTGAACCGCGATTTCCTTCAACTGAATTCCCACACCGTCATTTGCTTACCGATTCCTTCCAAAAACTCCCTAAACTCTTTCAAATACAAAACAATCAAAACGAGAAAAAGAAAATCCAGTTCCGACAACTATAGTTCCAAATTCTGAAATCTATCCGTTAAAATCCTTTGTTTCCAAACATGACATTAACAAGCTACAAACAGTCCCAATCGAAAACCCAATAAACAATCGGTTAAATCCACTATTAACCTTTTCATTCCTTCCACATTTTCTTCTCAATAATTTCCATTATTTATATACCCCAATAGACAATAGACAAAACCAATGTACAAAATCCTCCCCAATACCAACAAAACCAATGCAACATCGAAACTGAAAACCGTCTCGACGGACAATACCTTCGAATCCAACGTCGCATCGCACGAGGCACAGGAGCGTAAAGGGTGAAGAATCCTCGATTCGCGGCGAACGAGCGGCGTATCGGGCCGAAAGTAAAAGTCAGCGTGCGTATTAGTCGCTCACGAATGCGCCGACGAAACGGAATAGGCTTGTCAGCGGTTGATGGATCGTCTTCGGTTTACCGTACGGTTGCGCGTCCTGCGAAAGCGAATCACGCCGACTTCCGGGGACAAAGAAGGGGGCACGAAATTCCGTTTCACTTTCGGGGGGCCGGGGTTAACAGTTTAAATCGGCCGCTAATTGCACCTGGGGGCCCGCCGGGACCCGTGGGGCCCCTCGGTTCGATGATGCGCGCCGGTGTGTGTCGCGTTAATTGCCCGAGAGTTAACCAAGGCTCCTCCTTCTCCTCCTACTCCTCCTCCTCGCTGCTCACTCTCGCTCTCTCCCTTCGTCGTCGCGCGCTGCTAGATGGATGGATTACTTAACACTTGTC